TGCACGACTCCAACAGTCAACTGCCCACCTGGACCTCCTGGACCTCCCGGACAGCCTGGATCACCTGGTTGGTTTCTTTCTCTTCATATCACTTATGTAAACAATTATATACTTTTCAGGACAACCTGGATCACCTGGTCAGCCTGGACAGCCCGGTACCTCCAACTACACTCCAGTCAACTGCCCATCTCCACCCGGAGGTTGCGTCACTTGCCCACCTGGACCCGCAGGACCACCCGGACCAGATGGAAATCCCGGAGGCCCAGGACCCAACGGAAACCCAGGTGGCCCTGGACAGCCTGGTTCAGATGGACAGCCAGGACAGCCAGGACCTCCAGGAGATGCTGGAGCACCAGGAAACCCAGGAGGCGATGGACAACCTGGACAGCCCGGACAGAGCGGCACCACCTCTACCAACACTCCCGGAGGACCTGGACCAGCTGGACCACCTGGAGCTCCCGGAAATGCAGGAGGACCCGGACAGCCAGGAGGTAACGGAAACGATGGACCACCCGGACCACCAGGACAGCCAGGAGCACCAGGACAGCCCGGAAACGACGGTCGTCCAGGAAACCCAGGAGGCACAGCACCTCCAGGAGGTGATGCCGCCTACTGCCCATGCCCACCTCGCTACAATGCAGTCGCAGCTGCGGCTAAGAAACGCGTTGCTGCCAGCCGCGTTGCTGCCAAGCACTAAGCAATTAAGGAGCACCGTATCGGTTTGTAGAATATCACAGTATTCTTTAGATAGCGGATACTGGGAAAATAAACGATTGGCTCCGAAATTTTCTTTGTTTCCTTGCAATAGAAAAATTACGGGCTCCGCTTTTCTTTGTTTCCTTGCAAGTAGAAAACCTACAAGCTCAACAGGTTCCGTACGCCAGAACTTGCCGCTGTGAAGGTCTTGACACCTTATTTAGCGGAGAGATGAACGAGGTAAATTCGGGTAATGAAATTCACTTAGTTTGTGAGGTCGGTTTTGGTAAGTTTTTTGGTACTGATGTATTATTGCGATCAGCAATCTGATTCGGGGTCCAAAGGCGGGCACTGATAGAGGAAATGATGGGAGAATCAGGAAATATAAAAGACACATTGATCAACGTAGCCGCCATGATTGTAATAAAACGTTCTTCAGCGCAGGTTGGCCTGGGGGGCATTTTCTCCTTTCGCTTTTCCCACAGACGTTTTCATTGTTGACAGGTATTCTTTGCTAGAACTAAAAAGTGGCCTCGCTGGTATCACTTCGTGGCTTTACAAAAATTTCACAGGTTTCCATTCGACAAGTCGCGTGAAATAGGCGGATAAGCGTGAATGCCCTCCCACTCCTTACCCCCCCCCCCTTTCCCCACCGAGCAGAACTGCGTCCCTTTCCTCTGCCTATGAACAAGGAGTGCAGATGTGCTGCCGGTTTGCGGAATGCCTCAATGCCGCGGCGTACACTATCTATTCCTGCTCGCACTCACAGGGACGAGAAGATTTGAGGGCGGCCGAGGGCGCGGTTTTTCCTGGCTGCTCTGGCTTCACTCCAGTCCACTCGCCACTTTACATTTTTTATATTGGATGACTTCATGTCAGAAAACGGCACCCCAAATTTGTGGAAACAATGGCTCTGCTCTTAAACTTCGGTGGTCAAGCACTTCACGATGAGGCAATTCCCTCCCCGCCCTCCTGAAATTAATGTCAGACCGGTGTCGCTTACGATTCAATGAATGAAAAAGACGAAACACTGTTCGAAGTTCTTGGAAGGGGCAAGCACTTTGATTCCCTTTCAGATGCGCATTCCCTTTAAGCTGGCTCGTCGCGTGATGCGCACTGGAGCGCGTGGATTTACACTGCATTTGTTACCTTAGGAGCTCTTCGAGAGACTGTTAACACTTTCTTCATAACATAACATTCTGCAATCTGGATTCTATTGGCGCCGATTCTGTCGAGGGATTCTTCTACACGATAGGTGACTGAACACGTCCTACAGGAGCCTCACGGCTTCTGCCATCACAATTTGCTGATGGAAACTGCCTGCGCACGCAGACAGACTCAGGCCGTTTCATAGACCGCTACCTCGTGTATTAAAGACGGCACGCCACCAGGAATGCGATATGAAGGCAGACTCCCATTACGTAATCACTGCCAGAATATTTTATAGAAGTACAGCTAGGTTGAGAAACCTCCGCCGTTGATGGTTTCTCTCAGCCGGCCAAGGAAATCATCGTTGCGCGCCAGATTTCGCCCTTTCAGAACGGACGTAAGATTGCTTACACGAACGTTTCGGAAGAGGTGAGTTAAAACATTGCCTTAGAAACCGAATAGATTCGCCGACCATTTTAAAATACGCATCCCATTTATCACTCTTTCAAGCGGATCCCGTACAAAAGATCGTGGTACGGACTTCTCTGGCCACCTCACCCCTCGCCAACGCGCATCTTCTCTTGATGACCCATTAAGACCTTTCCGCATGAATTCTGCCCGCTTTACTTGACGGCCTGATATAACGCAGTTAATCAAAACCAATTAATCAGCTTTGAAACATTTAATCTGAGTGGCACAGTTTGAATTTGTTTCTTGCGGAATGGGTCTAAGTATAAGGAGCGCATCCCAACAAGCGTGAAAATTTCCCCACCCTTACAAATAGTTTATCTGCCTAGAGGGTACGGGGGTGCTGCACAGGTGGAAGTCCCACGGGTCTTACCATGCCTTTCAGTCCGCGAAGTAAAAGGCCGCACCGGGCCTCCTACCAGGCCTAGCCGAACCTTCTACTGTTCTCTGAGACGGCCCGGATGTAACTTGTACAAGATTTCGCTCTCGGCGGCCGAGAGAATACACCGAACACTAAATCAATGCTCACCACTTGACGAGCTTAGGCTCAGCATCCTAAAAGGGTCAGTTGTAGAACAGTATATAGGTCAGCAGCGTCTGGCTACTTACATTCAACCTTAATTTCATGGATAGGTGAAAGTAAATAGCGCATCCCACAAGGAACTGATCAACCAGTGAAGGACCTCATTCTTAATCCCTTCTATCGTCGAGCGCTACCTTCGCCATTCCTGTTGCGAAGAAGTAAGCTGACGCAGAATGAGAAACAAATCAACCCCAGGCATGCTCATATAACGAGTTACTGGGTCGCGCCCATGGGATATTGGGGATATCCACGATGGCGCTCTGTAGACGTAATGCACCAAATCTCCGCAGCAAAGATTACTCTAACCAACCAGGGTCTCACGTATCCATTTATAATTTTCTATGGTGGGATTATTATTCAAATAAACAAAGAGCAAGAGAAACGAAAAATGAAGGGGTACCCAAGTTAGGCGCTGCTTGACTTGAAATTATTAACGGAGCTGGAGGACCTGTAGCGCGCCGTCGCATTACGCAATGGCCGCCGCTTCAAGACTTGTGTGTTATTACAGAGGCGTTATTAAAGGGTTGTAACCGTTTCATTAGTTAGGAGGGCGCCTATTTATCGACGGGGAGGCGCGGCATTTTTACTATCACTCGCATTCCTTTGCTCCGAGTTTTGCAAATATCACCTGTGGTTAAAACTTCTCGTGAACGCTTGTAAAGCTGGAGCCAGGATCGCACTATGCCACCATCCAAAACGTGTCAACCTCAAAAAAAGCTAGATGGAGCGTCGACACAATCTATGAAAAGCAAGAATGCCCCCCCCTCGATAAACTGCGCCCTAGTGGGATTTGCTATTCGAATTTGTTTCAGTGAATTCTGAGGGGTGAGACTCCAGGAAAGCATACCTTTCTGTACTTTATCAGCCACCCTGAAAAAAATCATCCCCATTTCATGCGTACGAAAATGTGGAAGAATGTGAGGAGGTGAGGGTTGGGGAAGGGGGGGGGGAAGTGTCGTCCGAGCCTCTACCCATTGCGGTGGCAGGGTCGAACTTGCATTAAATAAGAGCCGCACACTAGTGTGTGCATACCGAAAAGATGAAAGGCTCTCTGATAGGTATCGAAGAGAGTTCACCAGAGGGAAAAGCTCAGAACTCAAGTCAATAATGTCATATTTTCTGTTGCAGAAACACAAAAAAGAAATCATGAGACAACCGTTTATTTTCCGAATATCTAAAAAAGTACTGTAATGAGTTACAGTCGGATACGATGTTCTTGAATCGCTTAGTGCTTCTTGATAACGCGACGACGAGAGATACACACGCTAGCTGAGCGAGTGGGCAATGGGCAGTAGGGCGGTCATCGCCCCCTGGAGGAGCTGAGCCTGGGTCGTGGGTTTTTTTCCTCCTGTGGATTCCTGGGACGCCATCGTTTCCGGGTTTTGTCCTTGGTTGTTCCTGGCTGTGTCCTGGTGGTTCCGGCTTGGTGCTCCATCGTTTCCGTTACCTCCTGGCTGTCCGGGTCCTCCTGCATTTCCGGGAGCTCCAGGTGGTCCAGCAGGTCCAGGTCCTCCGGGAGTGTTGGTAGAGGTGGTGCCGCTCTGTCCGGGCTGTCCAGGCTGTCCATCGCCTCCTGGGTTTCCTGGTGCTCCAGCATCTCCTGGAGGTCCTGGCTGTCCTGGCTGTCCATCTGAACCAGGGGCCTGCCAGAGGCCACCTGGGTTTTCCGGGTTCTCTGGGTCCGCTTGGCGCACTCCGGATTGTCATCTGGTTCAGGTTCTGGTCCTGCGGCGTCGCAGGGTGGCACATCACGGGCAGACCTCCGGGTGGAGTTGGGCAGTTGACTGTGCAGTGTAATCGGTGGTGCCGTCCGGTCCAGGCTGGCCAGGTGATCCAGGTTGTCCTAAAAAGTATATATTTGCTTACATAAGTGATAGAAGAGAGAGAAAAACTAACCAGGTTGTCCAGGCTGTCCGGGAGGTCCAGGAGGTCCAGGTGGGCAGTTGACTGTTGGAGGCGTGCACTGGCAGTATGAGGGAAGACCGGCTTGCCTCTTGCTACGGAAGATAGAGCCGAAGGGATTCTCACGTGGCTTGGTTGGGGGAGCAACAGTGACTTGGAAGTCCATCATCTGGCTCCAGGCGGAGTCAGTCTCGACGCGGAACACGGAAACGCCATCGAGGACCTCATCGTGGATCTCGTTGATGGTGTTGTAGAGTGACGGAACCACAATAAGGCAGGCAACGAATGGCCAATGTAGAGCAGGCCGAAGCCACGCCGACGATGAGCTTCTCCTCGAACATGTCGTGTTGTTGATTCAGGTGCCATATTCCCTTTTATAGTGTTTTGAAGTGTTGCGAAACTTGGCGCGGACTGCAACTCTTTAATAACTGATAAGTGGATACGATTCTTGGCCCGTCGTAATGACCCGGCCATCAAAAGACGGCAGAACTTGGCCTTGATTTTCGGTTTTTTTAGAGAATCAGATAGCGTAATGATGGTGTTGCCTAACTCCTCTCGTCTTTGTTTGTCCCAGCTCCTTAGTCTGCGGACTTATTTAAGTTTCGTTAGTTCGCCGCTCCTACAAAAAACATATGGATTTGGGATGAAGGGTGGAGTGTAGTAGTCTCCATGGTGAGATGTGACAGGTACTTTCTATCGCTTTCAGGCAAATGTCAGTACTTCGCCAGTACTTCTAGTGAAATAGGAGCGGCCGTTCCAGAACATTTTCGTGAAGTGGGATATGGATTGGAGAACTTGGGATGTCGTGACCCTCCCAGCTAGTTACTGTGAGACTATGTAGAAAAGAGTTTCTAGCCTCTTCCACGTCCTCTGTCAGCTTACGGGATGATTTCTTATCACTGGGATATCTCTAAGGTTATCCTGCCAAACCTGGCAAGCGCTCCAAGCGTTACCAGACTAGAGCGCTCTACCGAGCCTAGGTTCTTGTGCCTCCACGTTCGTCAGTGCCAGAACGAGTGTGACCTTCTTGTCCGACGTTCTATTTCCCTAGAGACAGTTCCATTAAAACAGTCATTCACTCCCTGGTTCAGAGCGATCAGTGGAGGTATAGCGCTGGAGGGTGCCCTTGAAATTCGGATGGCTTTTCGATTCATTTCGGGTGGCGGTGGTGTAGTAGGATGTGACCCGCTCACCCCTTCCACTGTTCGTGAGTCAGTCGAATCCCGGATCGGATCCTACCCAGGCCGACCGAGTCCTCTGGGTGTCCTCCGGGACTGGGGTCGGTAACTTGGCGCCCGATTTGAAGGCAGATCGGCAAGGGGGGGGGCATTTTCGCTTTCGCTACTTTAGACACAACTGGAGAGCCGTTTCGGGAGCTCAAAAGAGTTGACAGGTTTTAACGTGCTAGCTCAAAGAGCTTGCTCCAGCTTCACAAGTTTCACCGGAGGGGACCTATAAACCGGAAACTAATGAAGCAGTGAAAGTGAAAAATGTCCCCCTACGTCGCAGAGCCGCGCCGCAGATTCTTCTGTAGGGATGAAGAACGCGCTAGTTTTTACGGCTGCGGCGCATTCAACGAGCCTCCAAGGTTCTTAACGGGAGCAGGATGTACCAAGCACTCCGATAAAGGATAGACGCTGAGTCCTATCTTTTTTATTCTTTCATAGTCTTTCAGCTCAGGAGAAATCCGACTCTGTTCGGTGTTCGCCGGGGGGGGGGGGCACCGTGCACTTTCGCTAGTTCCTTAATCTTGGTCACGTCAATTGACAGGTTTACCTTTGGTGAGACTTATAAACTCCTGTGAAGCTATAAACGGGATAATTTATTCCAAGAACTTACAGCTCTTCACAAGAGATCAGCTAGCCTCTATAAGTATTGTACCATTTGGTGCCCACCGAGCCAAACTCCGTTTAGTATTCCCTCGGAAGTCCACAAAGCTCTCAAGGAATATCAGGTATAAAATGGTGCTACTTATGCCGAAATCTGATTTTTATTTGGAAAAAAATGTAGATTTCGGAAGCACGATGCTATGGAGGGGTAACCTATTGCGCTTAGCTTGCACCTTGCTTTGAATGAGCCTTAGAGGGACCCCACCATCCGCTTTTAGTTCATAGAATGCTTTTCCAGATTACCACCATCTTTTCTTGCTGACTGGATTCCTTTACATCTCGAAAGACTTACTTAGCGGAACCGACTAATAGAGGCATTCTGGACTGTTATTTTAAAAAACTCTCTAGGAATCTTCGCGTTACGTCACCTCATTAGACGCGCGACCTCTAAAGTGGCGCCAGAAACTGAAACGAGAGCGATTTGAGATCGCATCGGGCGAACGTTGCTTTAAGATCGCGAGAAAACATCACGGATCTACGACTTTCCTTTCAACCAACACCGGAAGCTCTACCATTCCTAGTGACTGAAGGGATTAACCCCTTCTCCTGAAGTGTTCCTTTAGACGGGAAGGGGGACGAAACACTCGTGTTCTCTTGATATCATTGCAATTCGGCGGTGCTATCAGAATGCCCATGCTTGTTGTTTTGTGGTCCGCCCGCTGGCATTTCCCCACTGGTTGTTTTTGGCTCGCTCCACGCTTTTTGACAACGCATCGCCGGAGATCAACTGCATATTTTTATGACACCAACTCAGTACGTACATATACGTGAGTGCTCAACGAGAATCTCAGAATTACTTTCTGGCGAAACTGGCTTGTTTGAGGGAATTACGCTGTTATATGACGCGATACTTTCGGTTACAATTACTCGCAATGGCCCAATTCTCGCCGGGTTGCCTCTACAAGTGTTGCGAAAAGGAGGAGGGCTTAGGTCAGGAAGCCCGTTTGTGAGATATGACAGGGAAAACCTGCTATGAAATAAGAAGGAAAGGAAGGAATGCCAAGTTGCAGCACTTCCCAGCTAGTTGACTTGGCTTTCTGCATGGTAGTGCTCCGGCGTCACATCACTTAGGTGTTGACGCGAGTACCTAGCACGCGAAATCACGTGAGCGGCGCCGCAAAGAGGATCTCCTGACCCGAGCACTTCTACTCCAGGAATAAAAAAATGAATACTAATAAACTGGTACAAACAAAAAGCCAAGAACTCGTAAACAATAGGAAACGCTCAATGTGTGCTCGAAACAGGCACTGTAAACTCTGAGAACTATTTCTGAAGTGAGAACAGTGAAGTAAGAATGTAATTACGATAAGGCAACCACGAACAGGGATTTCAGTGTGAGGCACTAAGGGGGTTACAGGAGGCGTTGGTGTAGTGGCAAGCGAAGCTGTTCACCACATGGGCATCCAGGATCAAGCATGTTCAAGTATCGGACGGGCCGGACAAGCGTACCATTCTTCCGGAGCCGATAATTTGGCACCATACGCGTTCAGGAGGAAAAAACAAGGGCTTTCACACCGGCTAACGCCCGAAAGATGTATGTATAGGCCGGGTCAAATTTGAAAGAGTCACAGGGCTAAGCTATGTGTAAATCCACAGTTATGAAAAATCCATCAGCCGAAAAAAACCTGGTGGATAAAATGATTGCGAAGTGTTAGGCCAGGAGCAAGAGATCGTTCAAGATTGCAGATTGCGAAGTATTAGGCCAGAGCACGAGGTCGTTCAAGATTGCAGCGTACCGCACGGCTGATACAGTCGTTATCATTGAAGTCAATCCTGGTGGGCAGGGGTCGCGTGGGTTCTGGCGAGAAGGCGCAGATTCTCTTTAGCGCTGACTCCATTTGAAACGTAACGAAGACGCAGCGCGATCGACAAATAAAGGAGCTGGCCCCGCGCGCATACCCCTTTTGATCTACGCCCCGGCTGACTTCTGTGGTTACGACTGTACTTGTGCAGGTTAGAACAAATCAACACACCAAGGTTGATGTACACAGAGTGTCACCGGAACAACGCAAGTGCTGCCTGGCTTCGAGGGAATAAAATTCTATAGAATGATCAAAGAAGACATTTAATAGAGCACATTCGCGAACCAGCAAATTTGGCGGGAACGGACTCAAATAGGCACAAAAAAGTGCTAAGTATCTGATTAGCGGAGAAAAGCAGCAGAAAAAGCAGTCGAAATGTTATAGAGAAAGATAACATAGTGGCTACCTAGCTAGTAGACCAGCAGCCGGTGAGTGGTCGCATGGGCCAGAGGGTGTCTGGCCAATTGCTAATAGTCAGCTTCTAGCGGAGTTCTTGCCGTTTTTCACATTTTGAAAGTAGCGCGGCCTCAAAAATCGCCTTCCGGATCGTCCGACACATTTGAGAGGTCATAGCCTTATTTTATCGCGGAATGTGCCTTTAAATGAGCCTGAGATACTCGCCTGAATCGAATGTGTAAGGGCATTTGCAATAGAAAGTCAGTTCAGCCTAGTGCTTTACATGGCTGGATTCGCGAGCCTGTGTAACTGACACTCCCAGCAAAAATACTCAGACTGAACGTGGTGGCTTTGAATCGCACCTGAGGGTTCTTTATTTATTTATTTATTTATTTATTTATTTATTTATTTATTCATTTATTTATGTATTCAGAGTACTAGACTCGAAACGTGTGCCACGGGACTCGAGTAATTAAAATTCAGCAAACAGGAATAGCGCCTTTGTGAAAAATGAAGACAAAAGTCGAAGGAAAAGAGGGGCGAGTAAGGAGTGAGAACCAGGACCTTCACTGCGACAGAACGATCATTCTCCCCAGTAGGTGGATGAAAGGGGCGCCACCCGAAAATGCCTGGTCTTGTGTCCACAACGCAAAGAGAACGAACAACAGTACTGGGCTTTAACCTGTTAAACAAATGAAATTCGTCCAAGGACCTTAGGCGAACAAATCAAAGGGGACTTCAAGCGAACGGGTTCACCATCCTTCAGATTCTTCAAACGACTGACCTTCACAGCTCGAGCCCGACAAATTTTCAGATAAACGTTACCGCACAACCACTTGGCTATTGCTCTCCACTTTATACTCGAGTTAGTGATAAAAGAGAAGAAGCATCAAAAATAGCAGGCATATTATCATCGAAATCTGCAATGGTACAGATTAACCAAGAGACTCCATAGGGGTGGTAATATTGCCACTGAGCCAAGAGCTTTGTCGTCCATTGGGAGTTTCTGACCAGTTATCTCTTCATATGTTTGCCTATCGTTCACGATGTTCGCATGGGCTGGACAGTCACCCATGGGGTCC